TCGGTTATCAGGAGGGTGGATGATATTGTCACCCATGTTGTGCATGTGTAACATTTTTAGCAGTCATGAATGCGGATATGAGTGAAAAGCTCGTTTATAATCAACACAACGCAATTAAGGTATTGCGTCTTATAATGCTGTATTATTTTAATTATAACCGAATATGAGCAAGTCTTTACAGTATTGGCTTCCTTGCCTGCAGCTATTTTGATAGGCTGTTAAGACTGTTTTCACCAGAACAGATAATCTGATTTTACTGGAGTGATATTTATAGCTTAAAGACGACCAGGAACTATTTGTCGAAAATTCTTAGGCAAGATCATATTCTTTTTGGAACACTCTCTTACTCTGGAACCTAAGTGAAGAATCTGAATCCTCTAATATTTCAACCGGGTCTTGGTTTTTGGTGACCAATCACGTAGTCAAATATTTTAATCAATCGCAAGCATAGCGGACTATCAATAACTATACGAATTTATCCTTATGAATCTCCATACTTCTTTCTTTCGATTCGATGCATCAGTTCATGTTGGTAACTGTGGTGCATTGGTAATTTTAAATGCCAAGGAAGGAAAGGAAAGCTTACCACTGTTGGAAGATCCGTGTGATTCATGTGTATTTTTAAGTTCTTATAGTGCTTTAGCTTCGAGACGCTGTTTTATTGGCAAGTTTAAGAAAGAGTCGAATATAAGAAAAAACGGTGTTTGAAGTATCGTTGTTTAGCATTATCTACTAACTGTTTTTTCTATATTGGAATTGCCTGTGTTTTGTTTGCTGTTTCGTATGCTCTCTTTCTCTGATTTTTTTCTGCATTTCTGATGTAGCAACTTCTGGTTGATAGCAACTGCAAGTGCAGGAGCAGGTAACACGTTTCTTCCAAAGTTTACCGATTTAACAACAAGCATCTTATTTACTATGCTTTCGTTTTCATCGACCAGCAGTTACACTAGTACTTACGTACCTAAACATTAGTAGTACAATGGGATTTATTCCACTTTTATTTTAAAAGCGCTAACTTGCTGCCCAGGTCTTCCATCATCGTTGCTATTTCGTCAGTTTCACTACCCTTCATGTTTACAACTTGCATTAGCTGCTTTCTTTATGCCTCTTTAATTCCTGCGGCTGTTTTAAATTCCAGACTTCTAGGCTCTTTTGTTATCAGAGAGAAGTAGGTGATTCTTTGACGCTGAAAACAGCACAAAACACCGTTTACCTATGAACAATTCGGGTCACATGGTTGGAAATTTACGAGTGCCCAAGTTTCAGCCTGTATTTCATAGGCCTTCTCCAAAATAAATGCTGTTTTACAGACGTTAGAAGTAAATTTGTCGTTCACAGAAGTTGGAGCGTGTGGATCAAGGAGGACTTGTGCAATTAAGCGTGTTAGAATATTCGTTACACAATTGGCATTTGTTAGCGAACATATGTGCGATTTTTTGATTTAAAGGCTGATGTTTATTCATTCCTTATCAAGTGAAATGGCATTCGCAGTTCTCAGTGAATGTGGCAAGTAAAAGCGTGGGAAACGATAAAAGAATCCTCCGTTTTCTAACTCCTTAAAGTTGTAAATCTTATGTAAGCCTCCATATGCTTTCGCAATGTAGATTTTATCATGTAGATCGAACCTGATCTCACGAGCTACGACAATCTCTTTCGTTCTCGCCGCTTGATAAAATTTCCGGTAGATGTGAGATCCCCAAATAGTTAATTCCCTGTTATTACACTAATTATTTTTTCATTGCTGTTAATTTGTTATTGAATTTAGCACGTACGTATCTGCAATTTTCATTTTTACTTTCATTTATCCTGAAGGTTAAAAAAATTAAGTGATGCTGTTCTTGCAACAGACTAAACTTTTACGATTACTGATACTCTAATTTTGACTAATTATGATAGTTATGGTATTGGTAGAACGATCGGCAAGTATAACTTTGCTATATGTTTCTGCTTGTCATAGGTTCAACTGCAATTTCTGTACACAGAGTGGTTGAATGTGTTCTACGTGTCACCCATGCGTTTGGTGGGTTTTGCTTGATCGGATTGTTGATACTTTGAACGCGGAAAGTTTTCTCCTAGTGAAAAAAAAGTCTTTAAGGTAGTAAATGAAATATCTTACAAGAAATTCGCCTGTTTTTGATCAATTTTCATTAATTAGTAAATGATATCTTGTCTGTTGCTACAAATGGTCTATTAATTCGTTTGTTTAAAAGATTTTGTTGTAAAATTAAAAGTCATCTGTAAAAACGCTGCAAACAGTTTCGTTTAAAGAGATAATTAAATTATATTTGTTACTGTGAGGTGAAGGCGTGTTTACTGAAAGTAGAATTTCATGTGCTACTTCATATCCAGTGCCAAATTGTAAGGTTCAGTTAGAATAGCTGGTGGTATTTTTCTCAGTTACGCTAAGGCACAGAAAATACGTTTTAGAATTCCTGTTTAAATCTGTTTCTGTTTGATTTAGACATGGTGCTTGTTTTCACCCTAAATAGTCGAATATCAGGTAAGTAAAGACAGTGCACGCCACAATGGTCGTTCGTTGTGGGCCTACTTTGTCCATTTTTGCATTACCACACCAAAATGCTATTCTGCCTCTATTATTCTCAAGTAATCAACCTGTTACCCGTTTCTCGATTGAATGCGACGAAACAACGTGGGGTAAATTTCTGTTAAAGGGAATTCCAGCTTAAGACAATTTTTTTCCCTGGAATCGAACGCAGCACTTCCACAGTTCAAAGCCAACCTCTTTGCCACAATGCCATAACGATGTGTTTCAACGCTTCTCTTACCGGAGGATCTTCAGCTAAAATGAATGATGTTAAATTGCTTTGGGATGCATTTTAGGCGCTTGATAAACATACCGATCAGTTTCCTGGTTTATGATTTACGTCTGGTTGTGGTAAAAGCATAGGCAAATATATTATCCACCCTTTCGTTTTTTACATACAGCGTAGTATTAAATTAGTATTAAATTGCAGATTAACCGTAAATGATCGTTGATTTGGATGTGTTTATGCAGCAGTTGGACTCAAGCGATGAACCGAAGATATCAGAGTTTATTTAACCCTTGGTCTGAAATCCAGAACAAGTTGTTTTATTAAATCATCGTATAGATATGAGAGTTAAGATTGGAAATCGCCTTACTTTGCAAACCTGTTCTGTGTATATATCAGCGAGTGTTAAAATATATAATCCTCCGTTCTTATCTAGTTGCAATTTAATATGTAGCAGCGGTGAAAGACGGTAACTGTAAGGAACTCTCCAGAAAAAAATCCTAGAGTTGTGATATGGGGTATTCCTGCAGGCCGTGCATCACGCATTGAATAACCATATAATTTTGCGCGTGGTAATGGATGACAGCACAAAACAGCTTTGAGACAAAGTTGCATAATTCGTATTGTGAAGCAGATACAAGTTAAATAACAGTTATGGTAATTTTTGCCTGGTTATTTACTCGTAATCGAACTATTTTGACGTCTGGTTCATACAGCAACTTATGTGCCTATTCAGCTTATGAGTCAGCGCGTGAAGAAACTTTCCATAGCCCGTGGTCTGTAACTCATAGTCAGTGTTTGTTCACTGTTCTGCGACATAGATAGAAGTGATTCCGACTGCCACTGTTCGTGGCGATGAGCGGTTTAAATAAATAGGGCGGTTCGAACTTTTGTACCAGTAAATCTGATTCGCATAAATTCAGTTCAACGCAGCAAACTTTCTGTCACCTCCTGAACAGTACGGTCATTGATCGGTGATGGCAAAATTGATGACATCTTTTGCACTATTACCCGATACAAACTGAACTCTGGGACTTTGAGAGGATCATGTACCAGACCATGGACATTAGCTTCTTGAAGAAAGATGGCAGCTTTACCTATCTAATAGAGAGATACCGATATTAAAATGGAAGAGGCAGACTACTACAATTGCTTTGTTACTGTATTGACTAAATATGGAAGTACTGATCTTGTAGTTAAGCGGCATGTAGGACTGGCAATAGTGGATTAGGGCAAACTGCATAACGTGGAAGGATCGAAGTCACGAAGATCATTCTGGAAGCAGTCTTATTTCCGGTGGTCATGTACGGTCTCGAAGCGTCTGCCGTTGTAAAGTATCATTAAGCTGTTTTAAACAGCTTCCAAGAATGCTGTCTATGAAGTGTCCTCAAAGTGCAATTGTACCACTACGTCACGAATAAGCAGGTTCTTACGACCACCGACCTAAAAAACATCATATTAGCTTACGGACCAGCTAATGGCTTGGTTTAATAAAACAGCCCAAAATGTGAATGGTAATTTTTTGAGAACTTTTCTCTCGTGGGAATAACGCACTGGCCACAGACAAGTGCACAGTCCAAATAGTGAAAAATCCTCTTTGAAGCAGACCGCCTTGCAGAGCGAAATGTGACCTTTGCCTCAGCAGTGACGGTCTGAAGTACTATTTCTAATGTCAAATATCTTAAGTTTAGGTTACCCTTCTGTTTAACCGCTGTTAACCTAAGATGACGACAAAATTAACAGTATATGCTTTCCGGGGAGTCGTTTCTGTATCATTTAAGGTGTAAAGTACTGTTTTTATTTTTTATTTACTCCGTTTTGTGGGTATTTCACAATTGTGTTTTATAACTTCGCCTTATCATTCCCTGCTGAATTTTTATTTTAACGTATGCGTTGTATCTATGCAATATTTCATGTTGTGTTTTATGATAGAGATCGTTCCTTAGCGCCCATTGTCCTCAATTTTCATATGCAACGCGTGCAGTAAGGCGGTGATGGACTGCAGTGTTGAAAATATACCCATGCCCGAGGGACCAACGCCTCCGACGCAGCTCGATTCTGATGCAGGTCTGAAGAATCTGGACGACCAGTTGCCTGAAGCGTGGCGTAAAGCGCAACGGGCACTGGAGCGCATTCAGCCTCATATCGATACGGTAGCTGCTGGTTCCGACACAGTTTCACAGAACATATATGCAAATTCTGCGCAGTCGCTCTTCCAGGCATATTCATGGATGTGAGTATAACAAGGAATGACTGAAATTTCTTATTCAATAGGTGTTTATTTTCGTAGGTGTCCTCCGTATAACATGGCGTACATGTATCCTTACCCTGTTTGGTATTCACAGAGTTATACGAAGAGTTTCGCTCCCCAGTCGTCAGATTCCTCAACTTCTGACCTATTTGCTACTACAGGTTCCAGTGTAAAACATGAGAATAGCACAGGAGTGGGTTCAAGTTTGAAATTCGCCTCCCAGAATGGTACAGACAAATCACTAGACTTAAAATCGCAGGTACTCGCAGACACAAAAATTAAGTTTCCCTTTCGAAGTGCACACCGAGTCATGCGCAGTGATTCACGTACATCAAAAATGTCAATTAATCCTGTTTCGGCCCCTGCCGAAACTCGAGACGAAGGTATGCAGGATTCATCTAAAGATAACCTAGGCTTGTCACCACCCCCGCTGAACGGTGGCTCCGCCATGGCTATGTGCAGTGATAAAACTCCTTCGATGCCGGACGGAATGAAGTACGTTGTTCAGTCGTTAAATCGAAAATGCCTTCATGCTTGATGATTCTGCTTTCAGACGGTACGTGGAACGAGCTTACATCGCAGCTGAAACTGATGAGGAGAAAAATAAAGTAGAGTTAGTCTTAAAGCAAAAGCTTTTACCTCTTTTGCAGAGTGGAGCAGCTTGGAAAGTGAACTGGAATGCAGAATTGCTTCCTACGTACGTTTTAAATCTAAATGAAAAGATAAAAAAGTCAATTTCAGTATTTTCTTATCCGTTAAATCGAGCAGAGGCATGGACACAGATAATTTTCTATTTATGTCTGCCCTTATGCCCATTTCCTTCCTCCGAAGTTAACGCCTAAATCAAACATTTGGCATAGCAAAGTTGAGTCCGACGTTAAGGCCTAAATCGAACATTTGGCACGTCAAACGCCAAATTTGACATATCTCGAATTTTAGCAGTCAATTCTAGCGAATTCTGGCATGCAGTTGAGCCGGTTGTTTCTCCATATTTTTGATACATTTATATTGCTTTGATATACTTATGCACTACATATATTTGAATATCACTGATGTTGGTCTGCAATCGATACTTAGCAGTGCCTTTGTTTCTTTTTCACTAAATAAGTTATTAGATAGATGATGGAAAATGACGATAGAAGGTTGCCGCATTGACATCATAAATTTTTGTGTGCCCGAGTATTTGAAACTATGAATCACTCTTCCAAACCTGATTTTACAGTATATTGTACCGTCTTGGTGTTCTCAGTTACCTAAAGGGGTCATTAAGGAAAAAAGGAAAATTTGTGGCCGTTCGATTGTCGGTCTTACTTAAAAGTTAGTTAATTCTAGCACCATTGTTTTCGTGAATGTAGTGGTGGGATTGCTGATCTCCGTTTACGTGTTTATCAACCATTAGTGCCGTATTTTATATTTGAGAGCTCCATTTCGTGTTTCCTACTTCATCAGTCTCGTAAAAGAAAGGCGAGTGACCCTGACTGGGATTCCTCTCCATTCTGAGTCCGATGCTCTAATGACCGAGTAACTCCGGTCTTAAGTGACCTTTCGCAAATATCTTGCTCGGAGTAATTCGTGTTAAAGAAAAAGATTGCTGCCGCGTGAATTGAGCCTCGAACCTCCGGAGTTCGAGTTCGAAGCCGGCCTCTTATTTCCTGTGCCACTTAAGACAAATAGTCGATTTAAATAGGCCACGGCTTCACGGTATTTCAGCATCAGCAGTAACTAATGGTTTATACGCGATAGTATTTAAGGAGTACGAGTTCGAGACACATGGTTCGTGATGAGTTCGCGGTGGAGCACACAGCGCACTTGCACAGCAACTGATGCGAATTACATCTGATATTGCCCAAGTGACATGGAGCTGTGGCATGCATAAATGCCCCGAGCAACTAGAAATAGGTCTTTCAGTGGTAATGCTATATTTAGCACACTTAGGCGTATGAACATATTTTCATGTTTATGCGGTTAAAAAATAATATGTAAAATCATAGAAGAATAACTAAAATGCCATGTCCGTATAGCCGTGGCCTGTTTAAATGACCCCAGACAATGAGCAAGAGACCGCCATAATCCGCCGTGAAATCTGGTCTTGCAGGAGTCATTCGCTATTTACCATAGAAGGTTATGAATTGACACAACGTTATTTACAGAACGATACTAGCACTTTAATTTTATAGACGTAATGGTATTTCTTCCGAAGTGTTAGTTGTAAGTGAAATGTTTTATATGGTGACTCGTTTGTAACAACATTTACTCTTTTCCATCAAAACAATTGAAATATGAAATATTCTATTTTATTTGTCTGATCAACCTACGATACTAATCGGAGAAAGAATGCCGAATAAGATCTACTGTACATAACAAAATTTTAAAGCTTCTGTGTTGAATGATGCTATTCTTTAACGATATGAAACATTCGCAGTATCAAAATTCACGAATAATACTGTAAAGCGTTTTTATACTTTAGTGATGAAGGGTTTTCTTTGCCTCCTCCAAATGCATGGACGCCTGCAAACGTGTTACGCTGTCGCCGTCATTCCGGTTCGAAAAAGAAAACAGGAGCTGGAAGAAACATTTTTGTAGATACTTCGTCAGAAGTTCAGTTTAAAAGGTTCGCGGTAATTTTTATGGCTGAGTTCTAGAGTTAAGTTTTTCTGGTATTTGTGACAGCTAAAAATGTTAGTTGATGAATTAAATGATCCGTTTATTTTGGATATCTTGTATAAGTTTTGTATAAACGGGTAAAAAATTAGTCGTTAATTATCCCTAAATGGTTGCGTTAATTCAAGCCATATGTAGAAATGATCGTAAATCAGGTATGCCCTCTATCTGTGAATTGCTTGATTTGAAGCCTTAAGCATCCAATGTTATTTCAAAATTAAATGATGCATCCCCAGATACATAATACGGAATGTGATTTCCCATCCTTGCAGTTGTATATCCCTTATGAAGGACGTTCCAAAGAGTTGAAACATTGCCCTGTTAATAGATTATTTTTCAGCATTTGAATCAGTTGATCAAAAACGTTCTCATTTTAGCCGCAGAAACTCCGAATCTGGTAATGATAAGGAGTTGGTAAGTGGCTTTAAAAGGCACCATGGATCGCAAGGTGTTGGTGATGATAATACAGAGAATGATGATCATCTTTCTTTTAGCCGTTTGAAATCTAATCGAAAACATAAGAAAAGGAAGAAAAGGTACTTGATCACATTCTGAATTATTGTAATTGATTGGTTTCATTAAGAATAAGGCTAGATGACTCTCGAGTTGAAGCTAATGAGGACATGGAAAACGGGGTTTCGTCTGAAATTTCTCTGCCACCTAAAAGAAGAGATTCGAAATTCACTTTCGAGTATGCTGATGCCGCAGAACAAGAAGATGTGAAAAGAAAGCGGGCCCTCCGTTTTACGGAACATTTGCGTCCACAGTTCATTTCGAACACTGTTTCTTGTACAGGCAAAATGTCTGACGATGAACGCGTTGCGGTACGTGCGATTCGTTAGAATTAAGTAATCGGTATTTGGAATGTCGATTTAAAAAGAAATGGCCAGTAGTAATAGTCATTCGTACCTGTCTTTTAGCGAGAACCTAAAGCTAGTGGAAAATGTATTTCTTTGATTTTGTTTTTCTTCATTCTTCCTATCGAATAAGTTTGTAACTGCCAGTCAGTTTGACATAAGTCAAACCTATATTCTTCTTCTTGATGAAGTTTGTGAAATTTTGTTTTTCGAAAGAACTTTGTGGAATGCATCTCACAGTAATGCTTTAATGTTGACCATTTGCTAAAGTCAAGATGAATGCATGAATTGATTTTTAACCTAATTAATATCTCTGTGTCTTATAACACGTGTAATTGCGTTATATCTTAGGCTGCAATGATCTGTTAATTTAATTCTGCCTATTATTTTTAGAATGATAGGGCACCGCACTTGTCTACCCCAGTTATTGTAGGAACTTGTGAAGATGTCGAAAAACCGTACCTTCGTTTAACGACGGTGAGTTCTTGATTAATTTGGCGCGTCTCAATGAGTTTCTATAACTTTTGAATATATGTTGATTGAAACCAAATTAAATGAAAGCGTATTAACCAATTAAATGAACGCTGTGGTCCTGAATGTCTTTGTAATTATATAGATTTACCAGAAAAGATACTTAACAAAAAGTTTATTAGCAATATCTTATTTTATATCATTTTCTTAATGTAACAATATTAAGAATTTATGCACAATGAGGTCTGATAAACTGTTACGTTTCGATTCTCCCGATTCCTCTGTCATTTCTCCCGATTTACAGTAACGCGGTTTTGCATTAGTGCGCTGCTAGTGCTGAAATACCATGGAGCTTTGGCCTGTTTAAACCGTCCCGTTGGTTAGTGGAAGCAAAGTGATGATGCACCACTGCCGTATAAGTCCTGAAAACTGACAGAAGGTTATTTTTAACGGTGGTATAGAAATCTAGCAGTTTGCTACAAAAAAGCATGCAGAAATGGGTGGTTGGGTGTAAGCTGCAAGTGGGTGAACATAGTAGATATTCATATGGCGCAAGAATATGCGAATTCGAATTGTTGAAAAATGTCGTTGGATGCTAGCTTGGTATTAATTATGTGTCACTTTCCGCGAATATTTCAAATGATGATATTTAGACTAGAGTCTCTGATACTTATATGGTTGATAAACTATTTCTGATACGAAAACAACTAAATACTGATTTTTGTGGTTACAAATTTACTTAAAACTATATTTTAGGCTCCACATCCAAGTCAGGTAAGGCCGGAGCCGGTGTTAAGGAAGTCACTGGAACTGGTAAAAGAAAAGTGGAAAAGCAAGAGAGATTATTATTCAGCCTGCGACCAGCTGAAGTCCATCCGACAGGATCTGACGGTGCATAAATTATATTGACATGCTTCAAGCAGTTGTGCACATTGTACTTTATGCTTTACTTGTAAGTTATCGTAAGTAAATATTTAAATGCGGCATTCCTTACCAGATTATTGCTGCTGCTTTCTGAATCTGTTGGCGAATGTTATATTCACTTATTCTTCAGAGAGGTTCAAATCGGCGAACTCTAATACTCATATTGATGTTATTGAGCTGATTTAGTACAGTAATTTGAAAAATGCATAAGTTAAATGAAAGAAAATAGTGGCAACTTCTTAAGAAGTTACTGTGACTATATTTTGAAATTGTGCATTTTGACATTTCACAGTTAAATGCTAATTCAGAATGTTAGTTCAGTTCTGCATGTACTTTATATTTTATTTATTTTACAATTTTTATTATAACATGACGGCGGATGCACCAATTTCTAATCTGTAGAAGCTTTTAGATCCAATGTATCCGCAACGCCTTCACGGTTGAAGTTTACGAAACGCATGCCAGAATTGCAGTTGAAAAAGTAAATATTTATTTATTGTTAATTAATTCGAGTTTATTCAGGTTTAACAGTCGCGTTTGGATATTGCGTATTTGAAATTAGAATTGCGGTATTTAATAAGTGAATGCCTTTGCATGTTTTGGTATCGTATGATGATTTGCTGTACAATCAGTGTTGTATCTGATCGTTAATGTGTTAAATTTATTTAGGGTGATAAAGAAGAGTTCAATCAGTGCCAGAACCAGCTTAAATGCTTGTATAAAGATGTTCCTGGCTGTGCCTATGAGTGCGAATTTACGGCGTATCGTCTCCTGTTCTACATATTTACGGCGAATACCATTGGTAACAAATTGCTCTTTGTTTTCGTCCTGAAATCGTTAAAACCGCCTAACTCTGATTTCCGTGATAATTAACAGTGTAGGGCAAGTTTCAGAAGTAGTTGGTAGCAGATATGGGCATTGAATTATATTGTAGTCTGTAAATCTTGATGACTATTTGATGCGTCTGCAACCGCTATCCGAAAAGATAATCGCTCAACGCAGAACCGACTGAGTAATGTCTCAATAAGTGCGATTTTCAACATCAAATTTGTAGCGGCATTAGTTTTACCGATTTTTTACGGAATAATGCCGTGTAAAGTTTTATTAAAACCATTTCTCATTTTCGGCTAGTTTTCTAGTAAAATCACATTTATGGACAGTATGATAGTATCTCTTAGAAACCGGAATAACTGATTTTCATTCTGTGAATGAACCTTTAAAATTGTATTGACTCTTAATGAAAAAATGATTATAATTATGAATGGTGTATTACTGGCATCGACTAACAAATTTGAAGGTGCTCAGGTGCCGTCTTGGTGCACACGGTCATTCTTTGTTGTTTCTATATCTTTTTACTGGAACGTTTTGGCTGAATTGTCTAAGATGCCTACTTCAAACTCTGCAGATGAGAGGGTTCGATTCTGCTCAGCGGCAATCTGTCTTATTCAGGAATTTCATTGAGCAGGTAATTTATCACCATCGCTTCTGAGAGGAGTTGCTTAGTCAGTAAGGCGTCTTACTCAGAAACGATCGGTTTCGAGTTCGATGCCTGGTTGAGGTCACTTGCCTCCCTTCTTTCCGAGGTTGATAAATGAGTATAGCCCTATGGGAAGGAAGCAGAAGGTTACATACTGTTTGCCACAGCCGTATTCTCTACCTTAAAATATTAGGCGTTTCTTGCTAATGGCGCAGAAACGGAGATCAGCACAGCATCATCAGTTTCATTAAAAGAATGCCGCCGAAATGGCCAGTTATGAAAGTGAAGGAAAACCGACGTTCTGATATTGACCAACTTTCCTTTGTGTGCTGTAGTACTGTATGGCGATTTGATAATCACTGAGGTTTACAATTTTTTATGTTTTTGGACTTCCAGTGTATTTTTTTTATCTCAAGTCTAAAGTAAGACTTCTTGTTTCAGCCTCGTTCTCGATTATTTTAATGAATATGTTATGAGTTTTATAGCATATATAAATCTTGGTCGATTTCAATGCGCTTTTTTGCAGATATAAATACCCTGCTTGCCAACCTTGCGGAAGAAGCGAAAAACGACGAATGCATATCTTTTGCTTTGGAGGTGCTTCATGCATGGGCTTTAGATAACTTCTGCAAGCTGTTCAGGCTTCAAAAGCGGGGCGCACCAAAAATGTGTAGCTACCTGATGGATTTGTTTCTACCTCGGGAGCGGCGAAGAGCCGTAAAAACGCTGCTTACTGCGTAAGTCATTGACTTAATCTTCTATATCGAAAGTGCATTTTTATAATCGTTCATTGTTTAGGTATCGTCCTTTCGTCACGGTTAAGTTCGTAACCAGTTTTTTGGGTTTCTCCAACGCTGAAGATTGTCTTGAGTTCTTAACAAGTCTTTCCATTCCTGTAGTTGAAGGAGCTAAAATCGATTGTAGAACGTGCTCCAAGCTTGAAATTTGAAAATCTGATGGTCTGCGCCGGAGGAACGTTCATCGGTGCACGTAGTAGTGGAAAGCATTCGTTTTCACCCTACAACGTATGCTGTTAGACAGCATCATCTCAGGTCCAAGAGTAGAGTGCGTCGTTCGCCCATCCCCTACATTTCCCGTATTATCGCCTTGAATAATTGGTCGATTTTCTGGCACTGGTAGGTCGCAACACAGCAGGTAAGTTATCAAGCGCGACGGCCAGTGGTCAGCGATGATAAGTCGGTGGAGCAATAACGACATCGATCTTCTTTCTGTTTACGTCTGTTTAATTATTTATTTTGTACAGTTGTTTGACATTTAGCGATTAAACTTATACTACAGTTTTACAGTGCCATTTTTGATTACTGTTGACCACAACAGGAGCTAATTTCCGCAATACCAAGTTAAATCTAGTATTTCGTATTCATATAACAGCGTTGTAAGTAATCCTGAATGATGTTTTTAACCTGCTAAAGCAAGCTCTGATCTATGATGGCTATATATATAAGTGTGAAGTTCAGGTAATAATAAAGATATTTTACAGCACATGTGCATGCAAGTGATAATGCTGAAGTCTGCCGCTTGTTTGAGAATAGTGCCTTGCGTGCTACTGCAGTGATCAATACGAAATCTCCGGTGAAATTTTTTCTATAAATATGAATGTGTATTTATTGCTGGACATGGCAGTATAACAGTTTTATGATGCCTTTGAAATGATAAATAGCACAAAGCGCATCATGCGGAATCAGAGCTATTAATGAGGCTTTATTAAAGCGCCTCATTCAGGCAAGAGCAGTCTAGACGTTAGCTCTAGCAGAGTATGTAGTGTGTAATTGTATGATCAGCGAATTCTCAATAGTCTTATGAGTAGCATCATACCCATAACCAATCACTCGATCTGTCTCAGCGGAGGAGAAAATTCTTCGCTTTATATTGCATAGGGTATTATCGCGTTTTGGACTGCCAACGTTTTCGCTTTAATTTCAAGGCAAGTCCTCAAGGTTAAGTGCATGACAGGCCTGTCTTTTCACTCTCAGCTGTCGCAGAATACTCATCGGTCGTTTACGAACGACCACCAGTTTTGACTGAGGGCAATCAGCTGTGTTGATTTGTCGTTACTGGCCTGTAATTCGAGAGATCACATTGTAATGAGTCGCTTTTCGGCTTCTCTATGTGTAATCAAGATTGTAGTAGTTTCTGTACTCTGTGTATTGCCTGTTTTTGTGCTCACTGGCTGTAATCTTAAATTTGATCAATAACCATCCTTTTATCGGTTGTAAAAGGCAGGTGAATTTGCACGAACAAAATGATTTAACTTCATCTGTGATGGTTTTGTACCCAACGGGCTTATAATTATTAGAAAGGAAATATGACATTGCACAAGACAAGTTTCCGCGTCCAAAGCTGGCAGTGATCCTCTGAACAGCAGCAACAGAAATCAACCCAGGAATCGTATGGGCCTTGTTGAAGACAGTGGTTAATGTGGTCGGCAACAGATTTAAATACAACTAATGAGATATGCGAACTGGCTTTCCAATAATAACTGACAAATGTTGGTAGTGGTATATCAGTGGATAACGCAGAATTTGCGTTGTATAAAGTAAGTACTGTGTTAAGCTGCTCATGCCAGCAGCTCGAGTCGTATGGCTACGGCTGAACTTAATATTTGATAATGTTACATGATCGTCGTCTTCTCGTGCAATACAGGAAAACTTCAAACCGAGTAAAATTTTCTACGGGGAGGAAGTTCGTACTTGGCAAACTGCAGTATCTGCGGAAGCTGCCTCTACCTTAAAGTCACGAAGTCGAGTTACGAGAAACCCATATGGTATAGATAGAACGGAGGTGAAGCACTTAAGAAGGTTGACCAATTTAAGCACTTCGATCGTCTACAGCGATTGTCCAATCTGAATTGAATGGAAGGGTCGTCGTCACATCTGCTTATCCTTGAGTGTTTTTGTGATAGCTTGTGAAATATTTCGACTGATTACATGGTAGTCTTTTCCAAAAATTTCACTTGTACCTTGCCTTTTTCAAGTGATGTTTAACGGTATGAGGACAGTTGTCCTAATGGATGAGCAGAAAGATCGTTGAACTACATGCATCAGCGTTGGCTTCGACTCATCATAGCGGTTAAACGGCATAGTCACGTAAGGAACGACTCCATTTTCTTCCATACACTAGTGAGTTCAACAGGCGTGGAGATTACGAAGAGTAGGTTAGCCTTGTTAGCAGAAAACATTTACTCTCGCTAGCGAGCCATTCATAGGATTCGAAACGGCGGACGTCGTTTGGGAAGTCCGCAAGCAACCTGGATAAGCAAAGTGGAGGCAAATCTGCTTTTGGGAGAAATATTTCCTTCAAGGCAGTAACTAGTCGCTTATAGCAAATGTTATAAAATTTGCTTCATAACGGACGTTGCAAAATGCGCTCCCCTTATACTACAAGCGGTTCGTGATAATTATGCGCAAGTTTCACATCTGGAAAATTGTAATTGTACAAGTTTGTAAGCTGCGGATGGGGCTTTAGCTCTTCTAGAATGCAGTATGCCTACTGAAAAAGAAAACCAGCATCCTAATCAATTTTAATATTGAGGAAGTGGTTGTCCTGACAGAAGTGAGCTATCGGTCTAAGTGTAAAATTTGATGAAAAAATGTTTAGAAATACGAATACTACAGAGCAGGTTCAAACTTTATGCGTCTGTAATTGATTATCTGTTTTTGACCGATCCATTTGTACTTGCCTTTGAAGATTCGAAGAAAATGGATGATCCTGTTGTTCAAAGGTTGTTCGGTGCGACTGATTCGTATACTGTAATCGTTGGCAGCGAGGGAACGGCCGACGTAGCTACTAGTCTGATGTTTCATCTGGCTATTCAGATCAGCCAGTCGACCGGCAGCGAGTCCAGTTGCACCTTTGTCAGACCAAGAGCGTTGAACGCATTCCCACTACTTGTTGGTAAGGCCGAACACCTGGATCTCAACGTACTGCGCAGAATCGAATTTGTCTACGTAGACGACCGCCAAAAACTGACGGGCTATTTTGGAAATTTTTATGCGACGGTGGGTGCGATTCTTCCGCGGTGCATCTTAGTTGATCAGCTGGATCATTATGGCGCTACCACTTTGTCTTCCAACGAAGAAAATTTGGTCTCCCTGTTAGCAGTGCTCCATGATTTCCACTGCTGGGCAGCTGACCGACGACGAACTGCGACAACAAACATATCGACTCTCGACTGCGAATTGTGCAGCACTATAATATCACTTTTATTACCTGCCGGCGTAATCGAAAAGTATAAATTATACCTACAACTATTTACAGATGACGTGATTGAATTAAGTACAAACGGTAGCGATGAACAACACATCGTAAACGTTAACAAGAACGGAGTCA